CCACAACATCTATTTTGTTTGCTTTCTTATGAAATGTCTTTGTTTTTGCCATTTTCAGCTTATTTCAATGGGTCTGATTAGAATTTAAAATAGAATAAAAATTGAAGCGAAAATTCGCAAGTCCTAAAATTTCACCAGACATGTTTTTTCACACATTTCTATAGATTTATCATAAAATTTCCCGAATCGAACCGTACCACTTAGGCACCTTCCCTTGTTAGTGTTAAGACTTCAGCTGTAACTTATTTTCAAGTGTTAGATCAAGTCGACTTTACTCAACAAAAAAGCCAATTTTTCGAGTTCCATCTCTTATCAGTTGTGGTTTGACGGTAGAAACGTTGAAACAATGTTTAGCTCTTGAGTGCCATAAAGTTGAACCTTTGTTAGTAAAGTTTCTCAAATACTTTAGTAACGACGATATATACTGACATTTTTTTGCAACATTATTTAGTGATGTTTTGGCCAATCATGAAGATCATAACTCGACATAAAGTCGAATATCGAGAAACAACAATTTTCAGAATAGTTTCTCATCAATGTTGCCTTTTGATGAATTGAGTTGAATCGACTTTTTTTGTCACAATAAAAATGCAAACGAATATTTTGTTAAAAAATGATTTTCACGACTTACGTTTGACAACCAAATTGGTGGTTGCTTTATCAGGTGATCCGATACCATTTGAAGCAAGGCACTCATAAGCTCCTGAATCTGATTCTGTTATGTTGAAAACGCTAAGAAAAGATCTATTTTCTTCTAAAGTAATTTTGAACCTTTCCTCATCCATGGAAATAAATTCATTGGGCAAAGTGGACGAAGAAAAGGTCGATTCAAGGCTATCATCCATCGAGTTTTCAATGTAATTTGGTTTTCGTTGCCATTTAATCAAGTCAGCGGTTATGGGATTGGCATCGACTGTACACTCAAGGTAAGCCGTTTTGCCCATCTCGACGAGCACAAGGTCACTTGTTTTGGTGATTGTTGCAGCATCTAAAGAAGAATCAAGAATAAAGTCCAGCAAACAAATGAAAAAAAAAACAAATTACAAATGTTTGAATAGCGAACATTCGCAGATTTCAATTGAATTTGACAGTTGACAGTTGATTAACTAAACAACAATGTTTTGAGTTAAGAATAATTTTCTTATTTCAAGAGAAGAAAAAAACAATTGGAATGGACAAACTGTCCAAATTGTATTCACTTTTCTGATCGAGAAATGATCGAGTTTCAACTGTTGAAATGACCGTTGATGATGAATGAACTTTATGAAAACGTAAAAAGTAACTTTTCCCAATCAAAAGGGAAACTCTTTTCGCTTCACTTTTCATCATTCTTTCATGATAACTTGTGTTAACTCGATGTTGGCGATAACAAGATTTAAAGATCATCAATAACAAGTCAAGGTAAAGATGGATGAAAATGTATGAATCAATGAATTTAAATGAAGAGAGAATTGAAGGGTTTATAATTTAACTTTTTAATCTGAGGGTGAAAATTTTCCATTCTGATCATTCCATGGAGAAGAAATTTTTGATTCAAGGAATGATGAATAAAAGTAAATTTGATAACAGGATAAGCAGCATGAAGGTGAATGAAATTTGAAAGATAATGAGGCTTGATGAAGGGATAAAATGGAAGCTGATTGTTCATCATAATCATCATATTCAACAATCCATCAGAATATTGTTCATCATTCAACACTTCTTCACTTCTTACGCTCTCATGAGTTTCTGATAAACTCAAAGTGACTCTTTTTCGACACCAATTTTCTCATGAATTAATAGACTTCGATTCAGTCAACACAATCAAACCTAATCAAAATCATGACAAACTTCAACTTAAAATGAACAAACTTTGATTTAAAAAGAAAAGTTTCATTTTCTAAATGAGAAACTCAGTCCAAAGAAGCAACTTTTCCATGCAAAATTCAGGATAATCTTTCGTCTAAACAATTTTTCGAAATTCAAAATTTCAATTTTTTTCTTTTCTTTTTTCAAAAAGAATTAAAATTGGCACAAAATATGAGGAAATGTTGAATGTCAAAATATAAGACGATTGGGATTACATTTTCAAACACTTTTTGTGGTTCCAATAATGAGTCAAGATTGCGATTGCAACAGTAAAATCTCTCAAAGGAACCACTTGACCAGTTTCTTATTCCACTTTCAACTCGATTTTGGTCAATCTTTTCTTGCAATACTTTTCTCAATAAACTTTTTATTCCTCACTATTTGATAATAATAATGAAAAAAACGGCGAAAAAAGATTTTCTCTTTTGTTTCATTTGCTCTCATCTTGCCAGTTGCTTCTTCATCTTTTGCCTTCCATTACTCAAAATGTTGCTTATCAGGGGAACACTTATCACCATTTATTTCCTTTTGTATAATGATTCTGTCCATGAAACTATTGATCTTTTCTTCTTTTCCCATCTCAATCTTGATCATTCATCTCATCAACCAATACAACTTCAACAATTGAACCCTTCAATTTTTAAACCTCTTTTCTTTTAGCCAAGTGTTACCTTTTTCTTGCGACTTTTGCAAACTCTTTACACTTGCAATTGAAAATTGTTTCAATAAACAAAACTCACAAGCCAATCAACTGGTCAACTGTCGTGGAAATGTGCAAAGTTGAGAAATGAAAATTCATTTTCGATTCTTTCTTGCATTTGCTTTGTCCAACTTACATTTGATATTCAATTTAAAAGGCAATTTGGTGGTTCCTTGAGAGTTGGAGGCTTCAATCAAGTACGAACCCGAGTCTTGTCTTAGAACGGACGTTATATTGAGAATTGGTCCATCAGTGTAAAATCGAGTTGCATCGAGTTCACCATTACCATTGATTCGATGCCATTTGTATTTAATGTTGGACGGGTTACCTCGAGCTGTTAGGTTGATGGAAGCTTCACTACCTTCAACCAGCTCAAAGGAAGCCAATGGTTCAGATGAGATAAATTCAGGTTTAACTAAAGGCAAATGGAAAAAGAAAAAGAGAAAAATGTCAAAAATTGTTCCTCAATTCATAGATATCTTTTTATTTCTGGGAGTAAAGCAAGTTGACAGTAAAAATTGACATGTTGAGGGACGTCAACAGAAGAAGACGAAACGAAGAGAAAAGGGAAGCAAAAAAACAAAAGGAAAATGAAACGATATATAAAAATCATAGTAATCAAGTTACAACAATTGTCAATAAATCAAAAGCACACCAAGCCACATCAAGCAAAAAGATTAACTCAATGTACTGATGGTGAAGGAAAGGGAGAAGTAAAGAGTGAAAAGAAAATCAAATAATCTGAGAAGAGATTTTTTGGGTGTTTTTTTGATGAAATGGATTGAACAAGCAAACAGAAAACAAACAACGAAAACAGAAGCAAAATGAGATGAAAAATAATTTTGTTTACAAGTTTTTTACCCCAAAATGGAAGGAGAAAGAAAAGAGAAAAGAAAAGGTTGAAAATTGAAATGAAATAGAATCAATTATGGAATGAAATTGATATTAAAAAGCAGTTTTTGTTTGAAACATTTTCAGCAGCACAGTCAATAGAAGGAGAAGAAAGCGGAAAACAATTTGAATGGAAATGCAAAAGAAGAAAGAAAATGCAAAAAAACGAAAAAAAAGAGTTTCACAGATTATTAAATTATATTTGAAGGTTGAGTTGAAACAATTAAAATGATGAAAATGGAAATAAAAGCAATTGGAACAACATTGAGTTTGCGAATTTTGAGATTTCTCAGGTTGCGAAAAAGTTTTTGCAACTTTGATCTTTGCAAGAGATTTGTGCGCTTCTCTGCAATTTTTGAATCAGATTGCGATTCCACTTACAGAGGACGTTTAAGGTTAAAGCGTCGTGAACACTTTGATCTAATAGTTTGTTTATTGCTTGACAAGTGAAAATGGATCCATCATCGGATGAGGTTACATTCATTTTGAGAACATTTTTGGTCGATTTACCGCCAAACGACGAATCAATTGTACTATTAACATGACCGGGCAACAGTTGACCGTTTCTCCACCAGACCACCTCAGAAGCCGGATTAGAGGATTCAGTTTCACATATCAGGTCAACTTTATTGCCTGCCTTTGGTCGAGCAGGTCGTGATTTTATTTTTACTTTGGATGGAGCAACTAGCAATGTAGCAATTTACGTTGAAACATTACAGGTTATCATTATGATTATTATGTTGATCATAATTCATTGATTGAAAGCATTCAGTGAGGGAAAGAAGAAGAGGAAAGATGCAAAGTTAGTCGACAGAATTATTAGTTTTGGAAAATGTTTTCCAATTGTCTTTAGAGTTGATCATTTCTAGCTAACATAAATCACGAAACGAAAGCTAACAGCTAAGCTTGTAATTGTGTTTTTTGATAACTTAATTGTTGTGTTTACTTTGAGAATCACGAATTAACAATTCAATTATGAAAATGGTTCTAATCAATGGTTGATAAAATTTCAAATTTTCTGCAAAATTAACAAAATTTAAATTAACTTTTTTCTTTTTTTTCTTTTTTTCTAATTAACTTTTTTTCCCTTCTTACAGTAGTTCAACTTTAAAGTTTGGCTTCTGCGTTTTTCCATCAAATATACTCACAGTAAACCTTCAATTTAACGGAAGCTTCAAGAGGTTCTTTTGAAGCGGCATTTGACGCTTCACAACGGTATATCGCACCATTGTCTGAATCGGTTACAACTAATGTCAACTCGGATGAAACTCCGTTTACTGTTGATGTTACCGTCCAACCTGAGGTAATCTCTTCTTTACCCTTGAACCATTTAAGGTCAGCTAATGGGTTACCTCCTTGAGATTCACAAGTGAACCGTTTAACTGTGCCCGAGTGAAGAGATTGAGACTCGTCGTAACCAACAATTGAAGGGTTAAAAGGTGCATCTAGCAAGCACCAAATAACGAAATGGGTTTAAAGTAGGTTTTTGATTAGTAAAGTCAGTCAGGGTTAGCAAAAGAGAGAAAAGAGATTAAACAGATAAAATGATTGAAAAGGTTTGGTTTTTGATTAAAGGTTAATCACAGAATCATTATCATGTCTAAAGTTTAGATTGAATGGCGATAAGAGACAATTTAAATCAAGTTTAGCCTTTAACCATGAGACACCCAAAAAAGTGCAATTATGCACCTTGGAATGGAATGAGAAGAGAAAAAAAATGTTCTCCAAAACTCAAACTTCGACACTTAACCTTTCAGAATTTCTTTTGATGTGCAATTATTCTCATTAGATGTTGCATTGTCCATAAACTTGCCCAACTTCAGAATTTTATTCAATTTCTAATTAGTATTCAATGCTGAGAGCTATTTCTTGATCAGTTGTTCAATCAACAAGTTGAAGTAAATTTGCAAGAAAAGTTGACAAGAAACAAAAGTAAAACAACAGCTTACGGCTGAATATGAACACTGAATATTGAATGGAGTAAACAAGAAATGAAAGAAAAACATTTTCACGAAATTGTGTGAACCAAAATGGAAAAAGAAACAAAATGTTGAAACAAGAATTTTGACCAGACGAAGTTGAGAAAAGAAAAGAAAATTTGCAACGAAAATTGAATTTGAACATTTCGATGAAAATGTCAAGATATTCCTTGTTGTCTAGCAAAGGTTGATATTGTTTGATAATCAATACTTACATAAAATACTCAAGGCGTGTGATGCTGGCACTGTTTTATCAAGAGCTTGATTAACAGCAAAACATGAAAAGGTTTTCATACTTCGTTCCTAGGAAATGGAGAGAAGAAAAAAGTTAATCATGAATTTGTAAGCAAAGGTTCAAATATTTGCTCAATAATATTTGGAATAAAAATGAAGAAAATGATAGAAAAAATGAATTTAAACAAAATTATTAAACATTGTTTTTCATTTTCATTCAACACTTTGGATTAAAAACACTTTTTGATTGCAATTGTTTACTAATTTAGTCTTGTCCTGACAACTGGTTTTAATTTAATTTCAATGTTTAATTTGATAATCATTTGATGAAACACGAAAAAACAAATGTTTTCAATCAAAGTGCCTGTCAACATTTTACTCTGAAATGGTGAACAGTTAATTCTGTCAGTTATTCATTGGATTACAATTAGTACATTGAAATGAAACAGTTTGTGGCTTTCATGTTAAGAGGGAAAAACGCCTGAAAATTGGTTGATATTTGTTTAGTAAAATTTTTTATCCCAAAACTGATTGATAAAGGTTTACTGGAAATTGAAAGTTTTTTCTCTCTCTCTCGCCTTTTGATTGGCATTTGGATTAGAGTTGAGCTTTTATTTTCAACTTACTGTTGATAATATTGGTAAAGTTATGTTGGTTGTTGTTATATAACCTCCTTTGGAGTGAGATTTATAAATATTTTCAGTTCTAATTGTTCGTCCATCTATTGACCAGCTTAACTCAGAGGGCGGATTGGATGCATCAGTTTTACAAATCATTGTAACATTATCACCAGCTTTGGCCTCATCTGGACCCACAATTGTAACCTTGGAAGGAGCAACTATATAATATCATTTTCGTGAGGGTTTCACGGGAAAGAAAGGTGAACAAGAAGAAGGGAGGAAAAGAAGAAGAGAAAAAATTAAAGTTGCTTGAATAGAGAATAACAATGGATGATGGGGAGAGATGAAAATGACCCATAGAAATCAATGAATCAAGTGAGAAGATGAAACAGGTAGAAAGAGAGGAAAAAGAAATAATCATGATTATCAGAGAAAAAGTTATGATGCTGATGATAATGATGATGATAATGATGATAATGAGCATTATTATTCACATTATTTTTCTTGTATTATGGTTTGATAATAATGGTGATAGTGGTAGTTGGTAAGTTACAGAAGATGAATGAGGATGAAACTCCAATTAATATGTGTATACATGTGTGTGAGTAAATCATGAATTTCAAGTTATCATGTTTTTAAAATTTACCGCTGCACGATTGGCCATTGTTGCCAACATCCTCAACCTGTGCTGCAAGTTTAACATAATGATCAAGTTAGTGAATGGCCTAAACCAGTCTTGGCCTAACCTAAGAAGCAGACTGGATCCGTCAACTTTAAGCTACTTCTTATGCTACTTGTTTGGCTACTTGTTTGGCTACTTGTAAATTGAGATTTGGCTTCTTCTCTGGTCAAGAGACCAGCTTTGGGTTTTGCATTAAGTTGTTTTTTTGGCGAAAATAAACTTCACGAAATTTCTTTTCTCTTTCAATTTTTTTCTTACAAAAGAAGTTTTTTTTCACTTTATCATGATTCTTAGGGAAATTGATGAAAGTGGTTTTTTGAGATGGAAATGGGTCAATTGGGTGGAGAATGTTTTCGCGAGAAAAGTTACTCACATTGAACGGATAGGGTTACTGAGGTAGTCATTGGAGTTGGGTTTATTGGAGTTTTTGATTCACAGGTCAACTTGGCATTGTTGTGCTCTGGTTTTACGGTAAATATGTATTCATTGACAGACTCTCGACCGGCATAAGAGTCGAATGAAAAGTCTACTTGTTCATCATCTTTATACCAAACCAGTTGAGCCAGTGGATTGCCACCTCTTGATCGACAGCGTAACTTTAATGTATCGCCACTGCGAACAGCTTTACCTGTAGAATAGCCCAAAATTTCGGGTGGACCGGGTGGATAGAGTACTGACATGGAGACGGTTGAACGTAAGGGATTGGATAAGGCTGGATGTGAAGCTGAACAAGAATATGTAACACCATTATCTTCCGAGTGTAAATTGAGCAACAACTGAGATTTGGTTGCAGTAATTTGATCACTTGAGCTTCCTTCATTTAAAGATGATGTTACAGTTAAGACACTTTGATTTGGAAGGTTATCTGTAGATGAGTGTTAAAAAATGGTTCAATTTCATTTCGAGAAACAAAACATGAAAAACATGAGCGAAACACGAAAAAAGTCAAGTTAGTCAATTAAGAAAAGCAATTTGATAACAACAAAAATTATCATTCAGATTACTACTGAATTTAAGTATATCAGAATCAACATCAATTTTCATTTCGATTTTTCTCATTAAAACGAAGTTTATCAATTAAAAAGCAATTTGAAAAGTTTCAATTCAGGTTAACCACAAACACACGAAAAGGCAAAAAATTGATAAAAGAGAAAATTGAAAGAGAATTGAAATTGAAATAATTTGGTGGAAAATATCGGTTACTAGAAATCGTGAGTAGCACCCAGTTACCATGAATATGATGATAATTAGCGTTCAACATTTGTTAACAAGAACATGGCGAAAGCGGCAAGATAATAATATCAAGGTGGAGATATCAGGTTGAGTAATAGCGACAGGTAAATATACAAAAGGTAAATTGAGAGAAACCCAAAAGAAAATCGTGATTCTGATAATTTCCGGAATCACAGGGCGGAGTTGATAAGGAGAGAGAGTGATTCATGAAACTTACTGGAATCTTGATGTAAACCAAGTTTTGGCCTTTTTAATGTTCGCTTACATTCAACTTGTTTTTTCATTATTGATCAAGGTTAACTTACCCGTTTTAAGCTCAATATCTTTGCGAAACCATTTAATCTTAGCAGCAGGTTTGCCTCCATAAACTAGACAGGTAAGGGTAACCTTTTCACCTTCCCTGATCTCAACAGCCGAACCATTGGTGTGCCCATTAATTTCAATCTTTTTTGGTTTAACTGCAGTGGGTTGAATGAGGGAACAAGAAAAAAAATGTTTTCATTTTTCTGTTTAACCTTTCAATTTATTTTTGCACTTTTATTTCACATCAACTTGGCCAATTTCATCAAATGGCCAAATCGACTTTTGTCTCTGGTCATTGGTCAATGAAATGCCCTCCAGTTGTTTGAGGTGAAATATTAAACATTTGTTTTTATCGAGTTATTATTTACTATTCAACTGTTTGGGTTTCAAGTTTGGTTTATACTTGGGTTTGGGTAAAATTGAAAATTTATCATTTCTCTTCTGTTGTTGATTAAATTTTCAATTCAACTTTTTACTTTAATTTTTGATACTTACGTAAAACTGTTAGCCTGCTATTGGCTCTGATTGCTTTATTATTGGTGGCTGGGCCAACCTGGAAAAGAGGAGAAATGTTGATCAATGAAAATTGAAATTTATCAAAATTACAGTTTAAGGTAAAAGAGAGGGAACATGAGATTGGCAAATGAAAAAGTATTGATAATTTGCTGTTGGTAAATAAAGGTTATTGACAGAGCTGAAGGGAAACTCAAACCTGAAACTCAATTTAGAAATAAATTGATAAAAAATCGAAAGATTGTTAATTTAATTAAAAGTTAATTGCGCACAAAAATTGCTAACAATCGATCTGTGTATCAATGACAAGATTTCAAATTGTTTTAAACGAACATCCAAACTCGAATTTTTCTCATCATTTCCTATTTCAAACTCTGGCCACAATTTAAAACTCGAAATTATATTTTTCTTTGTCTGTGATTATTCAACATTTCATTTCTCATTCTTTTTACTTTTTCTTAGCATTTAAGTAATCATGAAATTACTTGCTTCTCATGTAAAACTTATGAAGTTAATCTGAATTTGTTGGAAACCTTTTAAGTTAAACAAGTTAAGGCAAGTTCTGATATTGATTTGAGCAAATTTCATTTTTCTCAAGTTCTACGAGTTTTGAATGAATCCAGATCTTTTCATTTTTTGGATGAATCACTATCGCTTCCTGATTTTAAAATGAACATTTTTCCAAATCATTTAAAGATAAACTTAACAACTTAAATGAGCGTTTCAGTTAACAAGTAAAACTTAATTGGTTTATCAAAGAGTTACTCAACCTGTTGAAGAGGCGTTTCACTTCATTAGCTTTCCATGATTAAATTGTATCGATTATTTGATCAACTGTTGATTGAAAAAGAATTCAGATTCTGATGAAAATTTCAACTAAACTCTTCCCAGTCCTTAATCAATCGGTATGATTAGAACAAGCTTTCTTTACTCTCGAATTTGTTCTAGAATTTTGTAAAACTCATTCTCAATATTTGGTTGATTTTATCATAAATCGGTACAATCATGATATTCGCCCATTGTTTTGCCAAATTTCCATTCATTAGTAATTCATTAGCTATCAATGGTGTTTGAGCTAACTTTCATCATTAATCACACGTTTCAACTGATGGATTTCAGACAAATCTTGATAATGCTCATAATCATGTAAAATATTGTTAAAAGATATTCGTTGAAATGAACCTTCAACTTGAACCTTTTGGATTAGTCAAGACGAACATTCTCCTGACAATTTTTGTCTGGTTCAACAGTTTTTTCATTATTCCCTATTATCCATCTTCTTACAGAGCAGAACAAAAAAGTCCCATGAAATAATCAATAGAATGAGATAAAATTTGAATGAAAAATAATCAAAGCAAAATTTAGGGAAGAAAAAAGAAGAAGCAAGAAAAATGAAATGCATGAAAGGGCCAAAAAGAAGGAAAAATGAAGCGCAAAGAAGCAGAAAAGAGTTTCCCTTAACCAAAGCCAGAATTTACCATGATAATGATAAATGGCAAGATGGAGCTCAAAAAGAATCTCATGAATAATAGAAGCAAAAAGACAATAATTATCGTAATAAAGGTTCATCAACTCACCTGACATTGATATTCACCGTCATCATCAATTGAAGCTCGTTCAATCTTTAAATTATGTACACCTTCACTTGGATTACCATCCATTCGATATCGAGGGTAACCTGGAATTGATCTATCGAAACCTAAAAAATCGAAGAAAAGAAAAATTAAAATTCGAAAAAATGGAAAAGTTCATTTTCCAAGAGTCGACCAAAAACCGCAGAAAAGCGCAAAAACCCAAAGTTTAGTCATCAATCATAGCTAAACATCAATTATTAACACAAATCATTACATATTCAAGTCTTTCTTTGAATCGTTATTCAATTTATAAGTTGATAGAAAAGAAGAAAACATTAATTTCAAATCAAGGCATTTCCCAACTTTTCATGAAAAATTGCCTTTATCATGAAAATTCATTAATCTGGAGAAAAAAGTTCTCTTTTTTTCGCCTTTTCCCATTACTTTCCAATAACATTAATTGACATGGAAATGTTGCTATTATTGTTATTAAAACTTTTACTTGCCTCGACTCACGATGAATAACAATTGAAACGTTTCAATTTGTCTCTGAGTCTTTCATACCTTTCATTGCCGGTGAAATATTATCTTTATATTGAGCTTTCCAACAATCAAATAACAGTTAAATTTGTCACTGAATCACAAACAAAAAACCAAAAAGTAAATCAATTTTTGAAACTTTTCTCCCTTTTCCCTTCTTCATTCACATTCTTTGCGTCTTTTTACTTTCCATACTATCAATCCCTTGACAGTTTTATTCAACTCTTTTTTGCCATGAAAATTTATTATTTCCATTTTTCTTTTATTTGTTCAAAAACTAGATTCCATTTGAGCCAAATATCAATTCTGTTATGATTTATGAAACACAAAGTAACAAGGAGGGGAAAAAAGTTGAGAGAAGGAGCAGAAAAGTGAAAAAAACAAAAACATATTTACTCAATTTTTACCTTTTACATTGTACTTTTTGTTCATCTTATTGAATCACAAAACTCGAAAGCAATTACAATTAATTTCAAAAGAAAAGTTGAGGTAAAGTTCAATATTGATTCATGATTATTTAATGGGAAAAGTTTGCAAATTCAAATTCTATGCATTTATTGAAAAATGATTGTCGAAATTATAATTGATAAATGGTTTCGTTGGTTGAATGAAAAGTCGACATTTTCGAGTTTATTGACTTTGATCGAGTTTCTTCGATTGTTACTCTTTGCTAATTACATGATCAAATGTCTACTCGAACAATTAGTCAACTTGAATATGTCTATGAAGGTTAATCGTTGTTACCAATTGATGAATGACGAATTTCAAGTTTTGGTAAATTCAATGAGAATTGGGTTCAAAGGTGAGGGAAATTAGTTTAATTTAATTATTTCGTTGAATTGATTTCACTTTTTCTTCGTTTTCTTTTTTTCTTCTTTGTTTCACTTCTGTTGTCCTGTGTCATTGTACTTGGGTTTGGTTAGGTGATGAACCATGGAACAACTGATTTAATCTTTGAAACAGAAGAAGAGCTCGAATGAGAGTAAACATTGTCTTGTCCCTTTGTCAAGAGACGACAAACTGACCTGGTTCATTCGGTTAACTGAACTGAATCAAGACAACTGGAGAGTGATTATCGTGAAATGAAGAAAAAAATAGAAGAAAAAAAGTGAAACAAAGGTTCGCTGGTTGCGAGTTGAACATGACAGAGGGAATATTGGTCAACTTGTAAAGTGTTGAAAAGTGTTGAAATGAACGAAATGTTGATCCATTGCAGGTTGACATCTTGAAAGATGAACATGAATTTTCAACTTTTGCTTTTACTTGTTATCATTCCCATCTGTTGGACACAATCATCATCAGATCAACAGCAAAGTCCATCATCACTTTCATCATCTGTTAAACCCATTCAAAATGATTTGACCATTTTATTGACGGATAAACCCATTAAAAGTGTTCGTAAAGGTGAAAATCAAAAGGTTAAAAATACCGATTTCGATGAAGATCAAAGTTCACCGAGTAAAAAAGGATTTAAACGTTTGGTTAGCTCTTCTTCATCGAAAGGTTTGACCGATTCACGGTTCACTGGAATAAGACAGACTAAAATTACCGACAATCTGAGTGAATACAAGTTGCTCCATCATGGTCATCTTGGTGGACCTTCAGAACCAACTCAGATTGGTTTCAAAAACTCGGCCGATCAAGGTAAACGAACTTGGAGTTCAAAGTACCAAAATGATTCAAAGTTTCGAGATGATTCCCCAATGAATCGGATTCATCGGCAAAACCATCAACTCAGACAGTATGGATCATCTTTACGAAAGCGTTTCAATAATTCGAGAAAAGGACAGAATCGCTGGACCAGTTCAAAAGAGCAAAAGAAGAAGCTTCAAGCTGACGAAGAAGACGAAGAAGAGGAAGAAGAAGAAGAAGTGAAGAAAAAACCCAAAAAGATAAAAGTCAAAAAACAGATCTCAGGTAATAGAAACTCTCAAAGTTCCTAAAGTTTCCAAAATAACTATTTTCGAACCCGAAATCCTAACCTCAAGACTTTCAAAATTTTCGACAAAAACAAAAAATTGATTTCTTTATTGAGAAGTGTCATCTTTCGACGATTTTTTTTCCGAAATTTTCTTTGAAAGTTACAAAACTTCTTGAATTTCTAAACTTGAAATTCTTAAAATTGCTGCGAAGTTCAATACAGAATTTGAAAGATTCGAAAACTTGAAAAAGAATTTACAGAATTTTGGAAAATTTTGTTACTTCATGAAAAGATCCTTATTTTTATTTTGATTCCATTTTGGAAATTCTGACAAATGTAGAATTATTCAGAAATTAATTTTCTTTTCTTTCTTTTCAGGCAAAAAATTCAATCCCAATAAACATTATCAGAATTTTGGTTACCTCAAGTCAAATGGAATGAAAAAAGGTAACCAGGGAAAGTCTAAACCGAAGAAGGATAAAGTTCATATAATATTATTGACTCGATAATTTCCATGAAAAAGAAAAGTAAAACTTTTCAAAATTAAGTGATATTTATATATTTATAACCATTGTTGCCGTTTCCATGTTTGGAGATTAAAATAACTCAGAATAAAAAAAAAGTTGTTCATCGTTCAACTCATTAAAGTTTAGAACAAAAGAAATTGATTGAAAAGTATAAACATGATTGAACTCATGAGAATTTCAACTTTTATCCAATTCAACATTGATGAATGTTTTACATGGATAGTTTGACTGAAATGGCCAAAGGGAATGAACTCGATAAACTTTGTAACCAAAGAAAAACAAAGTTGAGAATTAAATTTTAAAGCAAATTTAAAAGGTAAGGAAACTCAACAAATTTACATTCATATTCAATTTTTTATCGGTCAAAGTTGCTACAGAATAAAATTTCTATTCAAAATTCAGGGAAATCTGTAAATTTGTTTTTTATTCAACCTCAACCTTTACATTTGCATTTGAAAATCACTTTTGTTTGAATAGCAAAATCAATCGAATCGACATTTAAAAGATTAACACTTCATAAGATGCTTGACGAATGAATTTGAAAATTGCGAGAAAAAAGAATTAAAAGAAAAATTTGAATTTCTCTTTTCTAATTCAGTATTTTCTTCTTTTTCCATGATTGACAGAGTTTGCTGGCTTATCATTTTACTTTCATTCAAAGATGTTTCCCATCAGATTCATGTCAAACTCGAAAAGTAGGAAAAGTTTCGAAATGAGTTTTTACAGTTGCAACTCGAAAGATGATGAGCCAGGAAAACCTCAATTGAAGAGCAAAATTTTTTCTCAAAAAATTGAATTTGATATGAAATTTTTTTCTTCCAATAACAAAGTTTCTCTGTTTACTCCATCAAATTGAGTAACTCGCCTGTTCATCACTTATCATGCTCATCATGACCATTGAAAGGGAAAAAGAATCATTTTTTGGGTTCAACTTTTTTCTCTTTCGGTCAACTTTTAATTATCATTTGGAAACTGGAAAAAGTTTCATTTGTTCAACTTGCAAATGAACATGGAGAAAAGGTTGACTCTGTTTCAACCTTCATCAATCATAGAGTTGGGCGTGAAGAAAATAAATTATCATTGGTTTTTTTATTACAAAAATTATCACAATTCTTTGCTTCACATGATTGTCAACTTGAAAATTGAGATCAACGAACACTCCATGAAATATTAATGGGCATTAATGGTTGAATCTGAAATGAGTTGCAAAATGCAAGAGTAAAATGTTCGAGAGAAAGAGAGAGAAAAAAATTGACAGAATTTGGTAAAAAAAAGAAGAAGAAAAGGAAACGGAAAAGCCTCTTGATTGACTTGCATCAACAGTAAGATGAAAGTGACAGAAGGCTCAACGAAAAGAAGAAAAGTTCAACTTGAAAGGTTAAGATTGATGATGAAATTATACTGATTAAGAGCAACTTGTTGGTCAGTTTCAGTTTCAAACGGCAATCCCATTGGAAGAATGAGATTTCAACTTTTCAAATGTTGCTCTAATCACAATTGGAATCACGCTAATCAAACGTTTGACTCTTGTTTTTACTCTGTTATTGATTGTTTGGCGAAATAAAATATCTTTAATTTGAAGCAACATTTTCATTTGTTAAATCTCTTTTTACTTCTTGTTCACAGCGTTAAACTATTGATGAAATGATTTGATTGTTGAAAGTGTAAATCTTTCTTCTTCTTCTTCTTCTTTTACTGTTCAGAAGCTTTACGAAATGATTAGATGATGAAGATGAAAATGATAATGATGATGGGCAATCAAAGTTGATCTTACAAGCTCTTTTACTGTTCATCTCTACATCATTATTGGCTAGAGATTTGTTCATCAACAGCCATTATCCTTATGGAGGCCGATTAATTCCAACTTTTTTTCTTCGCCAACTTTTCCCATTCTTTTTGGCCAATCTTTTCATCTTTCATCTTTTTTCTTGAAAAATTTTTCATTCTCTTTCCCGTTTTCACCTCATTCCAACATGATTTGCTCATCACCAGTCAACACCTATTATTGATTGATTTTCAATCCTATCAACTTTACTCTTTTTGCATTCATCTGTCAACATTTGATGAATACTTTTGCTTTCATGGAACTTAATTTTTCAGATTAATTTTTAATTTCAACTAAATTTTCAACGCAATT